CCCATTCTACAACAGTGGCATCATGTAATATTTGTCCTTTTGTGACTGGGATATTTCACTCAGCATAATGTTCTCCAGAGTCAACCATTTTGAATAGTATTGCATGAGTTCCTTGTTTTTTAATGCAGCATAGTATTCCATTGTGCGAATATACCACAGCTTCTCTAGCCATTTGCTTGTTGACTTTCACTCATAGGGTTGCTATGGGTCACTATGACTTTATGGCACTTAAAAATAACAAGAAGTATGAGATTAAACTAATTTTTCTGATGATGAAGTTGAGATCTTGTAAATTCCCAAACTGGACAAGTTCATACAGTCTCACTATCATATCAGAAAACATCTTGAATTCAATTCAATTGACTCCATGACTAGAGTTAAAATAATTCTTCTGTTAAAATTATTTGGTCTTTGTTTCTCTTTAGTAAAAGGATTTATTTTTACTAAAACAAAAATAAATAAAAAGAATATTTTTTTTAAAAAAAGAGAAGGTGAAGTTATGCAAAATGAAGACATAAGACAAAGGGAGGACAAACACAACTCATGTTGTCCTAATTTCTTTCTCTATTACAAAAGCCATTTTGTTAAAGATTTCGTGACCCTAACATCCCTAAAATCTAAAACGCACCTAGATTACATTACATTGATTTATTTAAGAAATCACAAGACAAAGGCATTTGACTAACAATAAAATTTCAAAATATTCACTTTCATGAAGTTGAGTTCAAGGCTGTAAATTGTTACAGAAGCAGGATGCCTCATTTTTCTCCCTTGGACAGGGCTTGAACCTTCTGTTATTACTTGAATGCTTTAACCTCTGTAGCAATGTTTGTTGTTATATACTGTTGAGTGGGAACTGGTTCATACCTGACCTTCTTTTTTTTCAGAGGCAGTAAAGGGCACAGAATATTTCCCATCTTTCACCCACATAGCAGTTGGTGGAGATGAACTGTACATTTCTGGGATGGCAGCATAGCTACCAGAGCATGCTGTACCAACCAGCATTCCTTTATGATGCCAAAGGACAGAACAAAATACAATTCAAGCTAACCATCATTTTAACCTTTATCATCTTTGTTTTCCACATTATGTTTTTTCATGGATTTCTCATCTATTCTTATATGACAAATCTGTGGTCTCAAATCTTTTTTGTTCATACACCTTATCAGGGGAAGTAATATGCATGCTCTCCTTAGGTAATCCACTTCCTAAATAACATGCCTCTGAAAATTCTATGAACTTTGATAAATGTTGATAGTTGTGGAGGGGCTTCAGGCCTTTTGTCCATGGGGGTGCTATGAGTTGTGCTTGACTAGAAGGTAATCAACAAACAACAACAACACAAATTCAAAACTTGAAATTATAAAAGTAAATGCAAATAAAAGTTCTAATTTCTTCCTGCATAGACCATGAATTATCGAAACTACTCCTTTAGAATCTCTGCAAATGACCCCTGAAAAATCCCTGTGTTCCCAAAGAGTTCAGGTTTTCTGGCAATCCTGTCCCAGATCCACCTATAAAAATAACTAAAAATATTAAGAAACTAGCACCTATTGGAACATAATCTAAAAAAAATCAAGCAAGAATGCGGAAATCAAGCCCTAAGGTGTGGATCATACTTACCTGTCATCCTGTCATCCTGTTTACTTGCCTACAGCCTCAACTCAATCTCTAAGCTCATCTAATTTCCAGCCTTCGGCCCATCTTCAGTGCTGCGTAGGCCGTTCTATCATGCAGAGTTGGCCTAACACCAGTGACACACTCCCTACAACTGTGAGGACAATCCCTTCTGTGGTCCTGGAGAATGAGCAGCTATAGTGGGAAGACCTAGGGCAGGCTCTGCCTATCTGAGGGACACAGGGAGCTGCTCTGATCACTGCAACTCCACTGTGATGGAGCATTTCATCTACTTCACAGTCAGTTCAAGGAAGTTCTAAGAAGTCAGCCCAATGTCACTGGTGCACAATAGTCTTACCTGTCCTGGTCATCCATGTGGATAAGTCCAGGAACTATCAGAGCCAGCTTTTTTCATGGTGTCACAATGATATTTTTACCAACTTCTTTTACTACTTGAACAAAGAAAGCCGGCATCCACAAGTAAACAAAACATGTTCTTTATAGAACATTTCCAACTCAATACTCATTAATTTACACAGAGTGCCTCCTCTCTTTGTCTTGGACTTGGAATTGACACCTTCACAGAGATAACTTGAAAAAGATAAATAAATGGAGGTGGCTAATCTATTTAGAGAACAAAAATGCCATGCCCAGTATCTGTATGTCTTCTTTCATCATGGTCTATTAATTCCATATACACATATTAACTACAAAGAGTTTTGAGAGAAATATAAAATTGCTTACTTCTTCTGCATTAATAACAAGTTTGGCTAAGAAGAGGCGGATATTTAATGGTACTGATGGATTTGCTAATTTGTCATGAAGAAATTTCATCCAAAGAGGAAGACTGCTTGGCACAGAACCCTGAAATAAAACATTAAAAAGTATTTCAAAATAATAGTCTTAGTAAAATATTATTATTACTAAAAGCAGGCCTACTAAATTAGTCAAACAACGTCCTATTTTGAAATGATGGGACAGTTACAGTAGAGTAAGATGAAAATAATGCAAAATTGCTTATTCAACATGGAATTTGGTTTAGTCTTCAAACTCAAAGCTCATCTTAAAAGGAAGGGAGAAGGAAAGGGGAGGGAAAAGAAATCTCATCTCAATAGGAACACATGTAGGCAGGTGAGGAGGGACAGCACCTTGTCTACTCTCGGGGTAATCTGGCTCCTCTGCATGTGCTTGAGCAGGGCTGTCAGGGAGGCCATGCACTCATGCTGGTTGAGCTCATCCATCTCCAGCTCCACAAACTCACCTCGGCCCAGAGGCTCCTGATGCTCCTACCCAGAGAAGAGAGCACAGTGATGAGCAGCATGCTGCTTAGAGCTCAGGGTGATTCACAGCAACACTTTAAGAAACAGCCAAAAGAACTATGAGATACCATCTCACCCCAGTCAGAATTGCAAAATTTCACAGAACAGCAAGCAACAAATGCTGGCGAGGTTGTGGAGAAACTGGAACCCTTATTCACTGTTGGTGAGAGTGTAAAATGGTGCAACCACTGTGGAAGGCGGTATGGCGCTTTCTCAAAAAGTTGCAAATA